GTAGTTTCCAGTAGAGCTGGTGGGACTGAGTTTGAAGTAGGGAGTTAGGGGCGATGGGGAGAAACAGGGAGGGATGAGGTGAGAAATACTAGAAAAGACAGAATGAGAGAAGGCCTCTGGGTAGCTAAGGTGGGGTGCGGACACAGAGGAGTGTTTTTGATATGTTAAGTACCACATCTAAGTGGAAATATTAAGCAGGCAGCTGAATATAGAACTCTGCACTTAAGAAAGAACTGGGCTGGAGCTATAAATCTGGTGGTCCTCAATATATGGACAATATTTAAAGCCATGGAATCAGTCGAGACCCAGAGAGAAAGGGTATAATAAGGGTACCAGCCCTATTCCATTTGAGGTTAGAGTCTATGCAACATCACATTATGTGTTTTATAGAATTTTTAGTCTTCTCTGTAGACTTCTTAATATGTATAATTGAGAATATGCATCTAAAACCCTAAAGAATAGACACAAAACACATTTCTTCATGTGAGAAATTCCAGTTTAACAAAGTAGCAATTTGAAAGAATTTCATTCATATAAAAGAGGATATGTCTTATTGTTCAATGATGGTAGCTGATTATTTATCTGAATTGCTTGGAGTCATACAGAATGAGAGTTTTCTAAAACGTCTGATTTGATACTTCTACACAGTTTATCTCATTTTCTTTACCTACAAGTTTAATTTGACATAGAGTATATGATTTTCCCCAGTTTATGAGAGAAAAAGAGGAAATTATAAGAAAAATGAGTTGTTCATTTTTAGCTATGTGAAAGTCCATGAACATAAAAATATTATCAGTGTGCTTATAAAAAGTAACATGTTAATGGATTTTAAAGAAAAGCTCACTGAGATAGTAAGTATAAATTTACTAATTGAATCCCTAAGGGCTTGAAGTTTTTGTAGTTTCAATTAAACATTTATAAAATGTAATGGAAATGCAGTTACAGAAAGCAGATAAAAGACCAAAAAGTACTACAAGAAAATGTTTCATAAAATGTACTATCCACAGGGCCCAATGGTTGCTAATATTTTCAGAAAAGAGTACCTAAATAAAAGGGGCAAAAACTCAAACTTCATCACATACAGATCTTGCCACAGAACTGTCTACAGTCTGTTTCAGTATCTGAGCTGTGTTGAAGTCAGCGATTTGCACATTCTGTGGCTTCGTTTTTTTTTTTTTTTTTTCCTTTTAAAATCAGCTCCCAGACTTCTGAGAACTGAATGTTTGCCAGGACTGAGTCAAATTTTCCTACCTTTTGAATGAGTTTGTTTCTTGATTTCTGCCTGTTTCTCAAAACAAGACCTGTACGTATCAAAATTTGGTGTCAGTTAGCGATGTATTTAAAGAGACCATCAGATATTCCTGGCATCCATCAACATGGGACTGCCACGTGCATTCCTCTGGACGTTCCCTGATTTGACCCAATCCTAAGTGCCTCTATTTTCCTAACACTAACTCC